ATTGTCTGATGAATGTTTGAAGGCTCTGCGCTCTTCTGCCTCGTGAGGAGATGTGAGCATCCTTGGCAGAGGGCTCTGGTCCTGCACAATCACCGTCTTCCTACAAAACTCTTTGGATTGCAGCGTCTGCCCACCCTGTGAGCAAAACAGGGCTGCTAATTGAAAGTGAGCGCTCCCTCCTCACTCTCCCTCCCAGCGCTGCGTTTCTATTGCGTCTTTTGTTGGCTGCACATCGGCTGTGCTTCCCTTTCTTCCTCGGAATAAAAATAATCCCTGCTTCCCTGCAGCACATGTGAAAACGTATCCACAGATACATAGGCTCTAAATGAGAGCCGTGGTGTGCTTTGGAAGGCAGGAATGTTTCAAGGGGCTAAATTAATCCCTCACATTTTCAAGGTGCATGGGGCTGACTGAAATTCCAGCTCCCACTTTGGTTAAGGCAAGGTGGAGAGTCCACCTCCAGTGCCAGAGGGTGGCAGCTGGCTGTCCTGCAGGATATGTCCTCCTGCTGTTGCTTTTTCCAGCCCTTTGACTGGAAATATCTGAGATGCTGTGAAAAAAGTTTGCAGGGGAAAAAAAAAAAAAGATGGGATGTGGTGTTTCGGGACACACACTGCCTTTTCTCCAATGAAAAGTGTTACGTGGGCAACGAGTGCAGCTGTGGTCCTTCTAAAATTGCATCTCAGTACTCTTTCCTATGAGCCAGTAGTAATTTTGGGCACTGAGGACCAAATCTCCCTGTGGAGAAGGTCCTGGTGGATGAAAGGCTGCACATGAACCAGCAGTGTGTGCTTGCAGCCTGGAAGGCCAACAGTATCCTGGGTTGCATCAAAAGAGCAGGGAGAGGGAGGTGATCCCAAATAATTTGCTGATGTCCCATCCCTGGAGGTGTTTAAGGCCAAGCTGAAGGGGGTCCTTGGCAGCCTGATGTGGGTGGCAACCAGCCCTCGGCAGGGGTTGAGGCTGGCTGATCTGCAAGGTCCCTTCCAAGCCAAGCCGTTCTATGTCTGTATGATTCTGTGAACAGGCAGGGCCTGGATGAGTGGCAGCCAAGACAGAGCACCGGTTGCAGGGAGGCAACTGCATTCTGGCTCTGCCAGGCTGCATGTTCTTATGGAGGGTGGCAGTGAGCTCAAATCCTGGCTCTTGCAGGTGGGCCAGCCCACGTCGTGATGCCAGCCCATATCATGGTGTCATCTGGTTCCCTGCAGCCACAGATAGCAGTGCCATCAGGCAGCACCGAGGAGAAGCTCTGCTTACTGGTTGCCTTGGCTTTGGCCATCAGTGCCTTCTTTCATTATTTGCCCAGACCCAGCAGCTGAGAAATGCCAGACCTCTGGCAAGTGATTAGACCAAGAAATTCCAGCTTCTCACTCCCAAGCAGGTTGAGGGTAATGAATCCATTGCAAATCAATGTCCCCTATCAGTGGTGGAATTGTTGTGGGAAGTATCACTTGTGGCTGCTGGCTTGGAGAGCAGCCATCTGAAACAGAGACGAGAGGGTTCAGAGATTACCCTGAAAAAGTGAGGTTTGCTCTGATGGAGACATTTCCCTGGGCTGTCACAACAAGCTGCTTCTAGCTGGGTTACTCTTGCAGAATGTAAAGTCCCTTTGTAAAAAAAGGCAGAGATGCACTGCTTCAGAACAGCTGCTATTTGGAAGCAACAAGTAACTACAAGCCTTTCTGTGTTTTTCCCAGTTTGAATACAAATACAGCATCTTCTACAACCAGAGGCAGAGTAAACACTTGAACAAAAAGCTTTGCATCCTTTGCATTTATTCATCTCTTGCACATACATCATTATTAAGCCTCCTTCTGCTCCCATACTAAAACCAATTGTCTGTATTGGTGTTATGATGAAGATGGGACCAGCAAATGTATATGTCAGCAGTATTTTTGGAAGGCTACACTGTACAAATGGTCAGGTATCTGGCTTTAATTTTAGAACTGAAATTCTAGTGCTTCACTCGGACTTTGGATCAGAAAAGATTTCTCCTATTGTGGAGGGGATGGAATTTGTTACCTTCACACAAACAAGGCCACACCTCTTTAACACACGTTATGGAATTTAAATTCTTCCTGTCTTCCACCTCCTTCTTGGAGGTGCACAGATGTGTTTCTCGTGATGCCATAAGGACAAATCTCGGTTAATCATTGCACATAACTTAGCATGACTTTTGGATGGATTGCATTTTATGGCATTGCTCACTCTGTAGAGCTCCACCATGTCTAAATTCTTTAATAAATCCCTCCCACCCCCTTCCTTAAATCAGGATTCCAAAACACTTGACACCTGGTTCTTACTGTGCACTCTTTCTCCCATCTTCTTTCTAAATGCTTGACACAACTGGGCAGAGCTGACTTCCCATTTTCTCCACGTGTGACACTGCTCGGTGGCAGCTGCTAAAAGAAGAGCCCCATCATAATCAGAGTGTTTTGCCTGTAGCATAAGGCATTTCAGAAACATTGAAAAGCCAAAAGGAAATAGAAGATAAGTTGGAAATCACGAGCTGAAATGTGCACTTCCATTTCAGAGATTAAATTAGGAAAATTTATTATCGTGAATATAGAACAGTATCATCAGGCAGCCTGACAGCTCATCTGGGCTCATGCTGGGCTGCTATTGAAAGGATGTGGGCTGACATCCTTTGGATTCTCACACTGCTGATATCCAAGGGTTGGATTAAGCTGTAGGGCAGTGCAGCTTGGTGGGGAGAAGGAGAGGTTCCTGCTGCAGCAACCTGCTGACTTCAGCACTTTGGGAACTCAAGGACAGCTAGTGTTCCTATTATAAAGTACTGCTGACCCATAAGCTGTGAGAAGGAATAGGAACGTAGTGGTGGAAAAATTTGCACAGCTGGAGAAACTGAGATCAAATAAAACAGTCCTATGGAGAATATAATGGGCAGGTAGGTGTAAGTGAGCAACTATTTCCTGGTCATCAGAAGTCCTGTAGCATAAGTGATGCAGCTGCAGTTTCATGGTTTTAGATAACATTAGGACAGTCCCCAGGGACACCATATAGGAAGAAATCTGAAGAGTATTTTTGATATCTCAGCCAATGTATCTTCAGAGTTATACCAGGGATCAAACCCCAGACTCCCTGGGGAACATGCTGAGCCCTGCAGTGGGCTTGGACTGCTCTGATCTATGGCTCCTGGCTTTGTTCATTCACTATTCCCATGGAAGGCATGAGCTCTCAGAACAGCTTTGCAGAGAAGATAAGGAAATTTGTGAAATATTCTGTTCCCTTATGTTAGCAGTAAAGACAAGGAGCGAGCCTGCTTCTTGTTGTCACTCTAGGCTATTCCATTGCCTATGTTAGCAAAGGAATTCCTCCATAGCTTATCATTGCTACATACTCCCCCTTTTCACCATTTTCTCTGTGTAATAAAGGAATAGGTGAAGAGACTGCTGTATGTTGTCAAGCTTAACCCCTCTTCCTGCTGAAAGCATGAGACAATGGAAGCAGATATCCCTCTTACGAGGAAAATCGGGGAGATGTCTCCAACATCTCTAAAATGAGGAAAATATCTTGGCCTCGATGACAGGGCACCTCATCTATGCACAACTGGTTGGAGTTTTCACGATGCCCAATGGTCATGGCCTCAGGAAATGCTTTACCGTCACTCAACATCCTGCAGCTGTGCACCAGCAGGAAAAATTGGGCCCTCCATACTCTTCAGCTACTGTGTGTGTAAAATACGTAATCCTAAAGCTCTTTGCTGCTTGGAGTCTTTTCTTCCAAGTGGAGAATTAATGCATGCAAGGGATGGAAATAACTTGTGGAAGTTGAGTGAGTGCACAGAAGTGTTACCACGGGGAGAGGCTGCCTCACAGCTTTCTCAGAATGAGGCAGATGCTGTTCAAGATGGTTTAATGCTGAGAAAAAAGAGATGCGGTCAGCAGGCTGTGCATATGGAGTAGGGTTACTTGTCCTCAGAAAAATTAAAAATAGGAAACTTTGTGTGCCAATTTTTCCTGCCTTCTCTCACAAACAGTCCCAATATCTAGCTTGGAAACCACTGAGAAGATGCACAAAGTGGAGAAATAAAGTGGCACAAAGCATGCAAGCAGGGATGCTGAGTAAAGTTTTGAGTCTCTGAGTAGTGGTACAGCCAGAGACAAGATGGTGAGGAAGGAGGAGCTTGGATGAACTTTCCTCCTATGTCTGAATAAAGACAGTTTGCATTAATATATGCTGATCTCTGCATGTCTCCATTAAGTGGTTTTACACATCTGTAATTATTTCCTATATAATTGAATGAAGGGACATTTATTCCAGAATTGCATATTGCTTGCCATCAAGACGAGCTTGACTCAAGCCACCCACAGAGCACAGAAATGAAACATTTTCTCCAATCAGCCGTCTCCCAAGCAAAACCAAAATGATGTCTTTGGACATTCTGATCCAAGTGGGGGGTCCAGCATTCAAAAGAGAGAAGATTATAAAAAAGGATTGGCTACAGGCTTGATTTTACCAATTTTATTCCTCCTGAACAGGGAAGCACTGAGCGAGGCAGCATGAGCAGAGCTGGCGCTAGCACCAAGACTACAGCACGGCCATCCTTGAAAGGATCTCACATAGACTAATTACAGCTTCTATCTGATTGATTTTTTCTTTGTCCTTTTCATATTTTTCCAGTAGTGCTTTTAATATCAGAAAGCCCTCTGGCTGTTTGACTTTCCCATTTCTGATGCACCCTGGGCTCCATTCAAAATGATGATACAATCCCAAAACCTTGAGCACAAGCCAGGCTCTCTCCTTCCCAAACTGGCAGGCTGCTTGGGAAGCAATGAGCATCTTTTTCACAGTTATGCATCTTGCATTTGACTCAGGTTGTTGTTATTATGCAGTACGTGTTTCAGTCTGAATAATAAAGAAAAGGAAAAATGTTCAGGTCCTAAGGGGGGGGGATAAAATCCACTAATCCAACATAGGCTTTATTTGCTTGATGTCTACCAACCAGTGTTGAGGATGGCAGGACTCCCAGAGCTTCAAACAGGATTAGAGAGTAGGAAATAAGACATTTATTTCAATTCAGATTTTTATTTAGGTTTTTGTTCTAGCTACACAGCTAGGTACTTGGACATCAGGCAAAAACTCTTGGCCACACACAAGCTCTGAAAATGTTGTTAATCTTTAAAATCAATATTGCATCTAGGAGATTGCTCACCTACCTTCATGTTTGTGACTGCTAATTCACCCATACAACACTTCTTGAGTCATTAACTATGTAGGACAAGGCATTACTTTCTCCTTATCACTTTCAGATAACGTGTGCCAACCTTATATTCATTACATGCAATGCAATGTAAAATACATTATTACTATTTACTTGCACCAGCGGAAAGGTTCAAAACTGTTTTGTGATTTCTGATTTCAAACGCTGGTTAAAAACTACTTGAGCACACCTGACTTATTATGTGAGAGTGTGCTGAGCCCGCATAAATGTCGTGTAGCCCTTCTGATCCCAAAATAAGAGTTGTCCCATTGCTAATCAGTGTTCCCATTCTTACACTATTAGTTGAATCTTGCTTTGCTTATGAGTCAGAAAGCTTGAAATAGAGGCTGTGAGAATCAAACAATAGGATGGTTGCTGTAATTTCCTAAAGCTGCTGTATTTGATTTGCCTTTAACTCAGTTAAGTATCTCGGCAAACCCTTACTTTGAAATCTGTAGAGGCTCAGCATCACACCCTGCTAGGCCTATCAACAGATGGAGGATTCCTGCAGGCAAAACGTAGATCTTCATGCTACTATTTTTTTTTTTTTTTGTCATAATACAAATCATGCATTGAAATTATTGGTGAACTCAGAGACTGACAGATTTATTTGTAGCAGAAGGTGGCCCTGTAAAAGCGTGGGACGAACAGACAGAGGTGATAGGGACTGGCCATCCATGGGCTGACTTCTGTTTGGGGAAATGTGAGAGCTCATGGTAAACAAGCAAACCAGGTTTTCAGTCTGGAGAGCAGTTTGGAAAAGGAGACAGCATTCGGGTTGCAAACATGCAGCGTGAGGAGGGACCCAGGGTTTCCATCAACTCTTGCGTAGATGAGAGCCATGAGCTTCACATGCTGGGCATGGAGGATAAAGCATGGAAATTGTGAGGACATCAAACACAGTCTGTCCCCTTTCATGTGGAGATGAAAGCGATCATCCTTGCGTTGTTATCCTCCTGATGCCCTGGCACAGAGCCCTCCAGTCTGGCACAGTCCTAGCAAAAAACCTATAGCTTCAGTTGGAGGCTGCTTGCCTCCAATGTATGGGTATTTGACAAATAAATTGGAAGGAACTTAAATAAAAAAGTCCATGGATTTTCTCTTTACTCACTTGTTAACCTTTTCTTCATTAATCATTAATCTTGGTGCTCTTGGACAATTCTCTTTACAAACAAAGCTCTTTTCTAGAAGTACTTCCCAGGGAACTATTTACACCAGTTGCCCTCTGTGTGCTGATATTGTCTTATTTAAAAAAAAAATACTTCCAAAATCAGCTGTGGGCTTAAAAATGCATAAATATATACAAGTACAGGTGAGCCTTAATGTACAACGCAGATGCAAAATGAAATTCAGTCATGCAGAAAATCCAATGACTTATTATAGATGAATGGTATGGGAAGTACATTTTGTCTAGTCTCAAGGCATTTTAAAATAACTGTTCAGCATCTTCTCACCTGAATGTATTGTCTTATTGATTTTGAACTGACTTTCGCAGATTAACTCCATCTGCCTTTTTGGCTGTCATGCTTTCAAATCCTCAACTGCCCAGAAAATGGTGCTGCTGCTATTCCCAAGGATGTTTTTATATGGCTGCTTTAAGGTGAACTAGAACAATAGCCTAGAATGAGAGCAGCAGAAGCATAACACTCCCAGCTGGGAATAATGAGCATGCAGCTTCAGCTGAGCTCTGATGGGAAATGTGGGCCTTTTTAAGGATTAACCATTTACATAACCAGGAGAGGATATTTTCAATCGGAACATTTTGTCAGTTTTCACTGTGCAGTGTGGTCAAACATGAAAGAAATGTCAGGTCACTTATTACACCAATTTATCTACCAGCTAAACTGCTTCTTCTTAGGCCTTCTGGCAATGTTCAAGACTTCCTAAGATATGTCAGGCTGCCCCAAGATTCCCTTTTATCAAGTATATCATTCTTTGCAATAAAGAACAAGACCCATTGGAGCAAAACACCAGGGCAGAAAAAAAGAAGGAAGTCAAACTCTGCAGATATGGGAGAAAAATGAGATCTTCTCTCACTTTCAGGCTTGGCATTGCAGTTCAGGGTTGGTTCACTAATCAGAAACTCAGGCTGAAAGTGTTCCTGGTTTGTGCAAGCAGTGAGAAAGCCCATTGGAGTGTGCGAGGTGGTGGGAGACTGGCTGTGCAGTTTTGCCGTGCTGATGCTTAATATAATCTTCAGTCATGACAAATTTATGCAGAGTGAGAGCATTTCAAACATAGCAAGCTTTAATGCTGTCCAAACACCTTGCTGTTCTACAAACAGCATGGGCAGAGTTCAAATATATCTTCGAAAATCATAAAGGCTTCAGCATCACTGATGTATGAGTGCTCTTGGAGGCTCCCTGGCGCACACCTGTATGGGAAGCTGTGGGCTGAGGGTTGTTCTCTGGCTGCTGGGGGTGTCCAGGTACCATGAAAACGTGGGTGAAGAGTGGGATGCCAAAGCTCATCATGCTGCAGGTAAATTTATTACTCCAGAGTGATAGAAATGCTTGGGCATAAAGACACAAGCAATGACAGTTCAGGTTTGTAAGAAAGGCAATGATAGCAGTGGAAAGGATGCTTTCTTCGTGCTGCTGCCCTATTGCACTCATTTGTGTGGTGCGTGCCTGTGATCCCTGCCAGCTCATTGCTACACAAGTTTGGAAAATGCGCTTAGGCACATTATCACTCAAGGAAACGCTGGTGCACAAAGTTCAGCTGAGGAATGTGGTTAAGGCATTTTTCCAGAATGAAAACCTGAAGGCTTTATACCTTCACAATAAAGAATGAGGCAGAAATGATTCTAACACCTGGCAAAGCAAAGCAGGTGACTCTCAGGGCTTCGGCAGAGAAATCTCGAGCACAAATTCCCCAATTTCAGCTCATTCCATGATTCTTTCATCACAATTGGAGACGCTCCAGCTCTGCCCAACAGCTCCTGTAGCTCAGCAAAACGACCACAACAGCATGCCAGCAATCCTGACATAACAAGAAGGACACATTAATCTCACAGCTGGGCATAGCGAGCGGTAGCCAAAACTGCACATGGGGAAACTCAAGGAGTGATTCACCGTTATGGGTCGCGCTGTTCAAGGCAGCCCAGGGTACCAGGCCCCTAAAGGGCACCAGTGGTTTGGAGCACACTGTGGTTAAATGAGGTGCAGAGATTAAAAGCGTTGCATTTCTTCCGTCAGAACTGTAGCTTTGGTTTTCGGAAATGAATCACAGCAGGCTGGAAGGTTCCACACTTTTTAAAGATGAAAAAATGTGTCAATTGTTCTTAAAAAACGAAACAACAACAAAAACCACACACAGAAACCCCACCAAATAGCAGTAACAGTGTCACCATTTACTCAAATGTGGAACAACAAGGGCTCTGCTAAGCAGACATCACTTCACCATAAGTATTAAGCTAATTCCCATCAGGAGACAGCTTTTCTGTCAATCATGTCTGGCTTCATGACAGCTTATGGCTTAGCTGCACCTATCTTGTATCATTTAACCAGACAGTATCTGTTTTGACATTCGTGACTGAGATACTTGGCTTGTAATTGGGAATGAGTACAACTGAGCAGAACAGAGCGATTTCTTTCCCAGGGATGGTTGTTAGGGTGACGTGGCATGCTGATGCTGAGCTGTGTGATAGAAACCTGCCTGTTAATGTTGCAGAATAGAGGAACCAAAAACTTGTACTTGATTGTCATGTCCTTAGAAAAAAGTGGAACGTCATGGAGATACACGAGCAAGATGACCACTTCCAGTGCTCTTACCCACATGTGTGCATTGGATTTGTGCAGAGCCCTGGCACTAAGCATGGGTGATGTGGGGCAGGCAGGACACCCTATTTCACACCAACCAAACAGAAACTGATGCTGGTGGTTAGACTATCACTGCTGGTGGTTAGACTATCACTTATATCAGAACAAAGCGGAGAAAGGAAGGATTTTACACTTGTACATCAGAACAATGCTGGTGTTTTTCTGAGTATCTGTGATATAAGAAAGCCAACAGAGCTATTGAAAACACAAACCAGGGAGAATGATGAGACTAGAAGAGAAGATTCAGTTCCTTGAGCATCCTTTGATGTAACCATTGCTGTCAGGTGACGGTCCTAATTAATGCAGGTATCTCATTCTAATTGCATGGATCAGGCCGCTTTGTCTTTTCAATAATCCATAGAGCTGTACCTGGCATTAATCTTATTAATGGGACAATTACACTGCCTACAAATTAATTTTCAGCATGAGATTATCTGTAGGATGTGATTGTGTGCAGAGAGATTTCTTTTCTTTCCAGCCCAAACTATTCTATGATTTTATTCCCTCTGAATTGTAAGGATGGGAATCTCCCAAGATTCTCCAGGTTATACAATTTAGATTCGCTAATTCGACCCCTGCTGTTGAGGCTCCAAATGTAGAAACAAAGCCATAATTCCTCCTTTCTCTCTGCCAGTGAATGGGAAGCTCCTTTCACCCAAGGCAAAAACCAAAGTTGTATAACCTAACAGTCAAAAGAAAATCCACTGTCAAAATTTCCCATTTCCAAAGTGCCAGATGTTACTATAGGAAGTTGTGTTCTTTTCCTCCTCTTGTCATTGGAGCATGAAAGCTAAATGCCCAATCATTCAGATTTCTGTGAGAAACACACACAAAAATTGAAGTGACAGCAGTATAACAGTGCTATGTTTCAGCCACCATTGACAATGATGTCTGAAGCTTGACACTGTCAGGAAGTCTAATGAAACCAAAAATTGACATGGCAAAAAGAAACGATTCCTGGCTAAAGCTTTAATTCCTGCACCCCTCCTTGGTTTTAGGTGCCATGAGTTGAAACGAGTGGCGATGGGACGTGCAGCATCCCAGCTGTGCCTCTACTTAACCAAAGGACCCTAAGAGTGGCTTCATTCAAACCCCCGAAGCAAACCCATATATCTCCATGCCATGAGGCAGAGGTAGTCACCACATGCGTGGGTGAAGGCACTTAATTTCCCTGGAAGTCACTACGTGCTCAAGACGTGTATCGATTTCCGTACCGCGCCTGTAAGTTATGAGTGATTTCTTTTGTAAGTGTCAGGTGAGAGACATGAATGGAGACCTAATTAAAGTGTATACAAAGTACATGCAGTAAATCTCTTTGGCAATGTCAACCTGCTTTAAAGCGGCCCGGGAGAGCAAACAAGATGGCATAAATGGAAGATAAAGAAATACTAATAGGCTGTGACGTTCCCAGAGCAGCAGCTTAGCTGGTGAGCTGCTAACAAAGTGGCTGGGGGTAGCAGGGAGAAGAAGTGCAATTCCCAGGGCACGTTCTGGCCCTAAAACACAAAACAATGGGAATTTTGCTGTTGACTTAAATAACAGCCCTATGGTCCTTCCCTGTGTTGTAGCCATTATTTCATAACTGTTTAAAATTAAAGCTATCTCTCCATCAGTGATCCATCCCTGTAGATTTTTATATAGATGTGCCTATCAGGATGGATAAAAACAGATGCAAGTTTTCTCTGCCTTCAGCTTCGGCTAGTCAGAAATTCTGGTCTGGAAGTTATACACGGCTGCTTTCTGCTTTGGGGAAATACCACGGCCAAGGTGATAAATACTAGTGGAAATAAATACTGCAGTATATTGGCTTGGGCACAGCACTGCACTAACTTATCTCTACGGCTATTTGGATTGGAGCTGGCTTGTGTGTCTGCACACAGAAGGCAAGATCCAGGTCAAGGTATTCAATGCCTGACTTCCCACGGTGTCTGTCCAGAGCTGAGCATCTGCAGGCTTTGGGTGGGTGTTTTCCTTGGTTTCTCCTGAGGAAGGCACTCAAAGTGTTATCACTTCTCTTTTATTTAAAAGATTGGTCCAGATTTGGCACTGCAATGCCTCTAAATTTCTGCATTGGTCCTTGGACAAGAAGAAAGCTATTCCCAACCTTTTATCTTGGCTGGGTGGCCTGGGACCTATTTACATTTTATTCAGCCATTCTCTTCATTAAGTCTGCACTGGGATGAAAGACTTCTCTTTAACCTCTAGGTTACCCTACAGTGTGCCTGTGCCCCTCTGGATAATGTGATGGAGTGGTGCACACAAAGAAAATCTGCTCATTTGTGAAGCCAGTCATTAATAAGAAACAAGATGGCTTTACCACGGGGATGCCAGCGTTACTTTGCTGACAATATCCCTTATGATCCTGGAGAAATTTTAATGGATTGAACAGGCTGATGTTGTCATTTTCAATTTGCTGAACCATCTGACAGTGTTCCCAACAATTAGCACGTACAAAATATGGAAATATGTTACCTTTTACATAAAAAAAAAAAAAAAAGAGTATGGGAAGCTGCCTAGAGTTGTATAATAACTTGTTATTCTGAACTGCTTGCTTTGTCTTCAAATAGATTTTTGGTACAGCAGAGTCACCCTAACCTTGGGATAAATTTATCTGTCACCTGAGTCAGTGCAGGGGTTTGGGATCATTAAAAGCTGACCAGGAATTAACCTGTGGTTGGGGCTGCAGGATGTGGCTGTGGGCAGTGCTGATGGACAGAGGGACATGGGGTACACAGCAGGGTTGATGCCCAGAGCCCCATCATGTCATCTGCTTGTCCTCTGCAAGCCCCAGCAAAGTGCAGCAGCAGGACCTGCCCAAGGTCATGAACAAAGGAGAAAACCGGGACAAATTAATGCCCACAGAGCAGGCAGTGCTGTGAGAGGTCATTCAGGCTGCTTGCTGGGACTGAAAGGTTGCTTTTGTTTGTGAAGTAGACAGGAGAGCATGAAACATATCTGTCAGCTGAGAGGCTGAAAGGAACATCTCATGTCCAGCCCCTGGAGGCAGCAGACATATCTGTTTTTAATGCAATAGCAGCTGCAGTCATTTTGGACCCTCCACATCTTCCATTAAAAAGAAATACATCTCCTGACTCCTGACAGAGTCTGTGACATGTGGTGACCTTATCTGCAAGCACTAGTGTTTAGGGAGGCATCCCAGCCCCTGACCAGCTGTGATTCTGTGTGGGTCTTAAAGGAGCATGGAATCAGACCCAGGTTGGTCCATCCCATCCCATCCCATCCCATCCCATCCCATCCCATCCCATCCC